TGAGTTCAAATTGGGGCTTTCTTTCCTTGGAAAACCAATTATTTAACATTTACCAGAACATCATTAGATGTACAGAATCCAAAATATACCTACTGCTTGGCTTGGTGGTACATGCATATAATCCCAGTGATTTAGGAGGCTAAGGCAGGAGATGGTAAGTTTGAGGCCAGCATGGGCAACTTGTTGATATCCTGTCTCAAAATAAATAATAAAAGTAGCTGGGGATGTAGCTTAGTGGTACAGTGTCCTGGGTTCAATTCCCATACCACATATACATACATTAGTCGCACGCACACACATACACACATACACACACACACATACACACACACACTAACACAGATAAATATACATACACCTACTATTCAAGCTGCCCCTATATTCATAAATTTATTATTTTTAATATGATTTATCATTTAATATTACAGGTAGAATTAGGAAATATAGCCATTGATGACTGGATACTCCATTAGTTCACCTGGGAGGAGATAGAAGGCAGGAAAACTGCAAGTTCAAAACCAGCTTTAATATAAGAGCAAGACCCCATCTCAAAATGAAAAAAATAAAAAATAAAAAGGGCTAGGGATAGCTCAGGGGTAAAGTACCACTGGGTGTGATCCCCAATACCACAAAAAGAAAAGAGTTGTTCTATTCAGCCACCAACTACTAGAGTCTCCCCAGGGCAGAAACCAGGTGTGTATAAGTGAAAATTCAGACAATCAGTCCTCCGCACCCCCACCTCCAAGGTGTCTCAGCTGAACCCAAGTTGAAATGGAAACAAGCTGCCCATGCTCTGCCTTGCTCAGATGACAGATTTGTAATAAAATAAGTGTTATTCTTGTTTATGCCACTCAATTTTGGAGTGACATGTTCCACAGCCACTGTAGCTGTAACAGCAAGTAACAGAAGCCCTGCAAGCCAGCATTGTCAGAATAGTGGTGATGGTTATAGTATAAAGGTTTAGAAGCATCTAGTGGAGCCCTAGGAAAAGAGGCACAGCTCGGTCTCATAATGGGTTGAACAGGAAGTAAGAAAACGAGCAGAAGCCAAGCCAGCATTGGACTCCTGTCCTCCTCTATTTTTTTCTCTCTCGTCTTCTCTGGTCTCCTAGCACATCTACTTCCTTCTACCTCTCTGCAATCTGGTGCTCTGGCTGCTTCTTGCCAATGGCACACTAACATAGCTGTTGAGTTCATATGCCCTTAGTGTAAGAGACCAGTGCACACTAACTGGCACCCTTTCATTCCAGTGACAAGTTCCTGGAGGAAAGCATGGAACAAGACTGCCTTGAGTCAGATGTCTACTTCTGGTCCATTTGAAGAGTACTGGGGGCAGGACCACCTGTAATAATGGGGTCATTACCCCACTCCCCAATTCCCTGTGAGAGATCTTAGAAGGCAGGTTCAAAGGCTTCAGTTTATAGCAATATATCTAATGCCTGAACCTTAGAAGGCATTTTGCATGTTCTTATCCTTATATAAAACCCCATCACAAACCAGGAGCACTGGTGCATGCCTATAATATCAGTGGCTAGGGAGGCTGAGGCAGGAGGAGCATGAGTTCAAAGACAGTCTTAGCAACTTAGCTAGGCCCTAAGAAATTTAGCAAGACCTTGTCTCTAAATAAAATATAAAGAAGGGCTGGGATGTGGTTCAGTGGCTACGTGCCTGTGTATTCACTCCCTGGTAACAATAACCAAAAACCCCACCAAAAACCCCTTAAAATTGCCTGTTGCTTTGTGTACACATATGCTTAGATAAGTGCATGCCACCCTCCTGCTCAATCTCTTCTCATTCTCCCTATTTTTTAAAAATATGCTCTGGAGCTCTACAATAAAGGCAGTGGATTGACCACCTTGATGTGACCTCAAGAAGACTGAATGCAGTGATTAATCTCTTTTATTTCTATTTTTTGAGATTTATATTCTAATATGATATTGGCTCTTTACCTTTTAGCTATTAGGGCTTCTGAGTACCTGGGTCAATTAGCGTTCACAGAGACACTCAGGGAAAGTGCTTCTTCTTCATGAAATTTGATAATTTTCCAACACTAAAAACTTCCCTTTGCTAAGTAACCTGTGGTCTCAGAAGTCAGGATAGAGGTTATCCCCAAAGGAAGGAGAGACTGGATGAAGTTTCTTGGGTGCTGGTGATATTCTGATTCTTGTGCTGGGAGATGGATGAATGAGTATATTCCAGTTCATAAAAATTCAGGAAGCACTGGACACAATGGCACATGCCTATAATCCCAGTGGCTCAGGAGACTGAGGAAGGAGGATAAGAGTTCAAAGCTACCCTCAGCAAAAACTGAGGTACTGTGGGCTGGGGATATAGCTCAATTGGTAGAGTGCTTGTCTTGCATGCACAAGACCCTGGGTTCGATCCCTAGCACCACACACAAAGTGAGGCACTAAGGAACTCAGTGAGACCCTGTTTCTAAATAAAATACAAAATAGGGCTGGGGATGTGGCTTAATGTTCAAGTGCCCCTGAGTTCAACTCCTAGTAACAATAAATAAATAAATAAATAAACAAATAAATAAATAAAGGCAATTCAGAAAGCAATATATACATTGCGTTAACTTCTATTGCTGTGACTAAATACCTGAGAAAAGGTTTATTTTGGTTCACAGTTTCAGAGGTTTTATTTCATATTCACTTGTTTTATTTCTTTTGGGCCTGTGGCAAGGCAGAACATCATGGTAGGAAGCATGTGGTACAGCAAAGCTGCTTATAGCAACCAGGAAACAGAGAGAGGAAAGAGTTAGGGTTTTAATATCCCCTTCAAGAGTGTCCCCAGTGACCCACTCCTTCAACTAGGCATCACATCCTAAGTTTCTACTACCTCTCAATAGTGCCATCAATTGGATTCCAGCCTTCAACACATGAGCTTTTGGGGGATATTTAAGATTCAAACCATAGCACATATGATATGTACTTTTCTGGTACATATGTTAACCTTCAATAAAAGTTTTAAAATATTTCACTAATTATGATCCTGGCACAGTGGTGCATGTCTATAATCTAGCAGCTCAGGAGGATAAGGCAAGAGGATCACAAGTTCAAGGCCAGCCTTAGCAACTTGATGAGGTCCTAAGCAACTTAACGAGACCCTGTCTCAAAATAAAAAAAAAAAAATACAAATAAAAAGGGCTGGGAATTTATGGATCAATGGTTAAGTGCCCCTGGGTTTAATCCCAAGTACCCCCTGAAAAAGACTGCTCAAACTAGCCTCACAGTATAGAGTGAAAATATATACAACTTACTGATACAAATATATCCTCTGTTAACAGATATATATTTGTTATGGTGCAAACCGAATTTTAACATTTCTTCAGGATGTTACGTAGATATACCTCTCACAGAAAATTTGGCTCCTAAAATACCCAATTTGAGGGACAGTAAAATAGTGAATGGCTCTGGAGTCCGACTCTCTGGGTTTTAATCCTACTACATGCTACTTTTATAACCCTGGGAAAATTATTTAACCTCAGCTTCCTTCTCTGTAAACTGGAAGTATTGAGAATACCCACTTCATCAATTCTGAAGGCTGAAGCAGGAGGGTCAGTTCAAGGCTAGTCTCAGCAACTTAGCCAGACCCTGTCTCTAGATAAAAAGGGCTGGGGATGTGGTTCAGTGGTAGAATGCCTCTGGGTTCAATCCTCAGTACTGAAAATAAAATAAAATAAACAAATATAAAATGTCATGAGAATTAAGGGAAATATTGCTTGTCAAGTGCTTGGAAACAGGGCCTGACCCCTAGTAAACACTTCATAAATGTTAACTATCATTATTATTACCATTATAATTACTGTGAGGAGACTACCTCAAAACAAAGAAAGCAAGCATCCCTAATTCTACCTGTTACTACCCCATCCACTCCAACTCAACAGAACTCACTTGAATACAGCATGTTAGCTCACCTCCACGAGCCTGGTACAATGCTCAGGTATGGGCAGAACAGATGTAGAAAGTGTATGTCTGCCTATTCCAGAGTCCCCCGCTGCAGAGATCTAAGTCCCTGGGATCAGTCTACTCTGGTAACATTCTCTAAAAGGTTCTGTGGTTCCTTTTTTCCCCACGAGTTCACTTCTGACACTATCTGCAGTTCTACAGATTTCTGTCTTGAGCCATTGTGTGAACAGAAGCAAATCCTCTTACTGGGTTGTCCTAAGAGGAACCTGGCAAGGTAAAAAGGTGAAGCAGGATGGATTTGCTGCTGTGTTTGCTTTTTTGGTTGCAGGTGCTGTGTCGTGTTGTGTTTCACTGCAGCACCAGTCCACTTGACCTAAGTGCCCTGGGAGTCTCTAGTAACACCCGTTTTGTTTTAAGTAAACTCAGGGAAATGGGACAAAAGAAAATGGCTATTAATCAGAACTTCAGCAACACACTGTACACAACGAGGCGCTGCTACAACCATCTAAGTTGAACAGTTGTTTGGATGCCATTCGTAACCAAGGCAATCTGCAGTGGATAGTAGCAAAAATGATTAGTTACCTCCTCCAGAATTCACAACTACAATCATCTCTAGTAACTCCTGTTTCACAGCTCACATTTGGCATTATACCAACACATGAGCTGAGAACCTCTTGAAATGGAATTTGTGAAAAGTGGAAGGGAAATGTTACTTCTAATTAGACAAGCCTAACGCTCCAACAATTGATTTAAAAAATTGAGTCTGCAGCAGTGGTACATGCCTGTAATTCCAGAGATGGGGGAGACTAAGGCAGGAGGATCACAAGATCAAGGCCAGCCTCAGCAACATAGCAATATCCTTCCTCAAAATAAAAAAAATAAAAGGGGTGAGGATGTAGCTTGGTGGTAAAGTGGCCTGGGGTTCAATTCCCAGTAAAAAAAAAAAAAACAAATAAACAAAAAATGGAAACAAAACACCAAATCGGTGGGGTTTTTGTTATTGTTGTTTTTATTTTTATTTTTTCATTTATTTCCTCCTCCTTCCCTGAATAAGGAGCTTCCTGAGAATAACCTGATATATATTGCTCTTCCTTCTCAGATACAGAATTGGGTGCTTTGCAGTTTGGCTTCTGCCTTATCCACACCCAGGCATGTACAGAACTGGAAAGGAGGAGAAGAAACTGGGGGAAAGGAGAGCAGGAAGTCAGCAGTGAACAACACAGTGACCATCTCCCCTCCAGCTTAGGCACTGCTGTGTAATGAACCCTCTGTATGTGGGAGGTAAGGACTTTAAACCACTTGATTACTTCCAGGTAGGGACATGTTCTTCCAGGTTAAGGGTATGTGCCAGTAGCCAAAAATATTGGCTTTGAATCCTAGCTCAGTCATTTACCTTGGATAATCAATTTAATCCCTCTGTACCTCAGCTTTCCCATGTGCAAAAGGGGACAATAATAGTACCAATAACTTAACACCTATAAAACACTGAAAGAAAGGACTAGCACATATTAACCACCCATAAATGTTAGCCATTATCATCATCATCATCATCATCATCACTATCACTATCATCACCATCACCATGAAATATTTCCAAATCATAATTACAATGCAACATCATCATATTATATTTTTCTCCAGTTGCACACCATTGAACCACCATATAGGAAAAAATAAAAATTTTTGTCAATGTAGTTACTGAACAGTGTTATAAGATCTAACATAAGCTGTGTGTGATGGCACACACCTGTAACCCCAGTGACTTAGAAGGCTAAAGGAGGAGGATCAAAGTTCAAGGCCAGCCTGGGCAACTTAGAGAGACCCTGTCTCAAAATGAAAAATTAAAATGGCTGGGGTCAGTAGTAAAGTGCTCCTGGGTTCAATCCCTAATACCACACACACACACACACACACACACACACACACACACACAAAGTTGTAACATGAAACACCTTGGGCTGATTTAACAGGGAAGACAAAAGAGAGCTTCCAGGATTCAATTTGCCAGTAATTCTACTTCTAGTATAACTTCCATGGGATTTTTCAGATATGCAAAGAAAAGGTACTGCAGCATTATTTATAGGGTGAAAAACTACACACAGCCAACTAAGTGTGGAAAAATCTGAGAATGATTAAATAAGTTATGGCCCAGAGATGCTACAAACATCATGGAGCCATCAAGAAGGGCACTTTTGAAGAATTTTTAATGTCTAGGAAATACTCAGGAAACAAAGGTTAGTAGAAAAACAGGCTTCAAAACTCTGTGTACAGTGGGATGGCATTTGTTAACTAGGTAAGCACGATTCAGAGAAAACAAAACTCCAGAGAAACACATCAGGATGTTAACAGTGGGGTTTCGGCCAGTGGGGAACATATGCATGGTTTTTTGTTTAGTTTACATTTCCTTATATTTTTTGGTGCCTTCCACAATCCCACAGACGAACACAAACAATTTGGGGAAAACATTAAGTCATAAAACCAAAGCATTTACACAAAGAAAGGATCTTTCTGAAAACACACAGAGGGCCAACAGGAACTAGGGCTTTGACCACGTTTCCTAAGCTCCTTCCAGGTTTGTTTTGTTTTCAGTCCAGAATGATGTCACATCACAAAGACAGGTGTTGCTACTCTTCAATTTATCTTTGGTCTGGAAAGAAAACCCATGAAGAACCTCTTGATTAAAAAAATACAGACAGATATGGATGGGGCAATAGCAGAGCAAAAGAGCCTCTCCCTCTCCCTAAGTTGTCTTAGGATACAATTTAGGATTGACTAATCACAGGCGTTTGTTTTCACAACATTGGGGAGAAACATCTTTGGCCCACAGCAAGATGGAAGAGAGCCATCCATCAGCTCTTTTGGAAGAAGTTAAAAAAAAAAAAAACTGCAGTTAAAAAAAGAAAAAGATAAATAACACAAACAGTACATCAGACCAGTCTAAATAAGTAACAGAATTCTTGAATTCCCACGCCTCTATGCACAGAACCTTGCTGATAAACCTCCTGTTGTTCCAAGTCCTACACCTAAGGAAAGGTTACTAAGAAGAACTTGACTTAAAAGACTTGGAACATATCAGAGAAAGCCAGTATACACTGTAGGCCACCTAATATCAGTCAGCTCAGGGCCCCCACATGGTCCTCACCAGGGGCCCTTGTCCCTTCAATCAGGAGCTTGGGTCTGTGTACTCGGGATGAGAGGGGGGTCTTACAGGAGTCGGACCTTGGTCTGAGAGGCCAGAGTAAAAACATTAGGTTCACTTATGATGCAGCAGTGATTTAATAATATTTTTCAAGAACCTGATAGATTTATGTAGAGGAACTGCTGTTTTAGTAACTAAACCCTTTTGGATAAACTCCAAGATAAACCAGACTTGTCTGGCTTCCGCCCCGAGTCCCTCCACCTCTTCCAGTTTCTCTTGGCAAATAATCTCCTTTACTTTACTGGAGGGTGATGGTCAAGGAGATGACCTTCCTGGCTGCTTTATCATCCTGACTCCCCACTTCGAAATATCTTCCAGGAGTATCTCTCTTGTTCCTTCAAATCACAAAAGAAGAATCACAGGAGGCTGCAGTTTTTTTGTTGTTGTTTTGTTTTGTTTTGTTTTTTTAATAGTAATAAGGATTGAACCCATGGGTGCTTTACAACTGTGTTACACCCACAGCCCTTTTTTACTTTTTGAGACAGGGTCTCCCTAAGTCACTGAGGCTGGTCTGGAAGCTTTGATCCTCCTACCTCAGCCTCCGGAGTCTCTGGGATTACAGGTATGTATCACCATTCCTGGCTCGTGCCTTCTTCATGCCACAAGTGTGCACTTAATTTCCACAAAAACCTGCAAGTTAGGCACATGTATCTCTGTTTTGTTTTAGAGAGGATGGAGGAAATTTTTTCTTGTTTTTGGGGTTTTTGTTTTTGTTGTTGTTGTTTTAGCAGCTGATATGAGTATTCCTCTCAGGGAGAGAACCAGCTTAGTGGGTAATGCCTTGACCAACTTCTTTGGATTATTAGGGTATGGGGAGGGGTAGGGAAATATGCAGACTGCAGGGAAGGGTTGTGGACTTTTCACTCAGAAAGAAGAGCAGTGGAGGCAGAAAGAGAACAGCCGCTTGAGAAAAACACTTGGTATGGTACCAAATGTCCCATCCTCAAAAGCATAACTTCAAATCTTGAATAAATGTATAAACTTATAAAATGCTTGCTCAAAGAGGATTTTATGAATTGGGCTGCCAACGTAGGGTGAGGCAGAAACCACATGAGTTCCACCTGGAATGGTGACAGGTGATACCATAAAAAAAATGTTTCATAAATTCAAAAGCAGAAAGACCCCTTGATTTTGGAGTTACATAAAGAAGGATACACATAGCTGGGTGTAGTAGTGCATGTCTGTAATTCCAGGAGCTCAGGAGGCTGAGACAAGAGGATCAAAATTTTGAGGCCAACCTGAGCAATTAAGTGAGACGCTATCTCAAAATTTAAAAAATGAGGGGCTGGGGTTATGGCTCAGTGATAGAGTGCTCTCCTTGCACTCACCTTGTAAGGCCCTGGGTTCAATCCTCAGCACCACATAAAAAATATATAAATAAATAAATAAAATTTATTTTTAAATTTTTTTTAAAGTGAAAAAAGGACTGGGTAGTTTTTTGCTCAGTGGTAGAGTGCCCCAGGGCTCAATCCCTAGTACTCAAAAAAAAAAAAAGTAAAAAACTTTCTTTGTGCAAGAGTCACACAAACATGGGAGGCAGGTCTGCAGGTCAGTTTGCTGACTGATTTTCCTAAACCCTCCCTTCTTTAGGTTCTTATCCCTGTGGGTCAGCTCCTGGGCTGGGCTGGGCTCCCAGTTCTCCTTTGCCTCACTCTCTCCCCCATGAAACCATACAGGTTTGTTTGTGAGCCTCAGCACACATCCTGGCATCAGAATCTCTCCTCCACCCTTATAGCTCCTCCTGCCTAACAGAAGAAAAGTAATTGTCTGCTTTCTCTTCAGGAGGCAGCTGTAAAATAAGAGAACTGGCCATCATTTAGATAACCTTGGTGAGGCTAAGCTCTAGGGACAGGATAAAGGGGCATCCCACAAGAACCAAGGCTTGCTAATGATGTGCTTCAAACAGAATGAACATCACAGAAAGAAACCTCTAGAGAAGGTGGAAAAGTCATTGCTAAGGATCTGAATCCAAGGAGGGAGTCCTGCAGCCAGAAATGGAAATGCCTCACTCATCTAGGAGGCCAAGGCCAAAGGTCAAGACACAGGTGCAGGACAGGATGCACTTCTGCCCAGAACCATTGGACAGCACAGGTCCAGTATAGGCTCAGACTCCATTAAGGGAGACTAAGAACAACAACAGCCATCACTTCTTAATTAGCTCCTATGCTCCAGGCACTCTGTTGCTGGGATTTTAAAATAATGCATTATTATTATTATTACTTTGTGTGGGGGGAAGGGGCCAATACTAGGATTGGCCCAGTATCTCCAGAGTACTGCAGATGCTAGCAAGCACTCTACCACTGACCTCTATCTCCAGCCTTTTCTTCTTCTTCTCCTTCTTTTTGAGGGGTGGAGGGATAGGAATATCACTAAGTTGCCCAGGCTCCTGCTTCAGCCTTCTGAGTAGCTAGGATTATAGGCACTGTATCACTGCACCAAACTTCCTTCATTTAAAATATATATATATATATTTATTGAGGCTGTTTCTCTCCCAGGAGATGGCCCACATTCTCCCTCAAATGAGCCTCTGCTTTCCTAAATACACCTGGTTCAATCCCCGGTATCACCAAAATAAAATAAATAAATAATAAATAAATAGGTGTGTGTGTGTGTGTGTGTGTGTGTGTGTGTCATAGGAGATAGGGAGATCACAGATTTCCCTGAGGAAGTGAGTCTTAGATTTAAATGCAGTAATTATTAGTGATGGATGAGGGAGGTTAAGATTAGACCAGACAGAGGAAACAGCATGTACAAATGCCCTGTTATAGATACAAAGGGCCAGAGCCAGCACAATTTGAAAGATTTATATAGTCAAGCAAAAAAGAGTAAGGATCAGCCTGTGTTCGCTGAGGTTAAAAAAAAGGAGGGGCTGAACCAAAATCTTGTTAGGGTACTTATTTTCCTTAAATACTGAAACCATGGCACAAAAACTCAAGTAATATGCACCTAATAAAATATGGAGCTAGAAAACTAACCTGTTAACTTCCAGACTCAACTTCTATATTCTCTTGGTTCCGTTTGGTTTTATGTTTACCTGATGTCTTTATAAATTTCTCTTAATGAAATTCCTGATTTGTTCAACTAAATTAAAAGGAAGAGAATTTTATACAGACCTAGTCTGGAAGGCTAGCAGGGTCCTGATACTAGCAGGAAAGCAGAGGGAAACTTGTGGAGGATTCCTTCAGAGAAGGATGTGCAAAGATTGGGGATAGCTATGTTCTATATTCTCTTTTCACCTTTGATGTCTTTTATGGAGTATTATTAAATCTTTCTTTTTTTCTCTATATCAAAGAATAGTGTTCAGACTATCAGCCTGGTGTAGTGGCACAAATCTGTAGTCCCAGAAACTCAGGAAGTTGAGGTATGAAGACTGAAAGTTCAAGGCCAACCTCAGAACTTTAGCAAAGTCCTAAGCAATTTAGTGACACATAGTTTCAAAATAAAAAATAAAAAAAGGGCTGGGGATGATCTAGGCACAGTGGCACACACCTGTAATCCTAGCAACTCTGGAGGCTGAGACAGAAGGATCACAAATTCAAGGCCAACCTCAGCCACTTAGTGAGACCCTCAGCAACTTAGTGAGACCCTGTATCAAAATAAAAAATAAAAAGGAGCTGGGGATGTGGCTCAGTGGTTAAGCATCCCTGAGTTCAATCCCTGGTACCAAAAGAAAAGAAATATATGTAGATAGATAAAGAGAGAGACTATCCCTAACACCTCAACTAGCTGTCTCTGCCACACTCTGTCTTTCCAGTACCAGGGATTGAACCCAGGGTGCTCTACCACTGAGCCACTTCCCCAGCTCTTTATTTTTTTTATTTTGAGACAGGGCCTTACTAAACTGGTAAGCCTGGCCTCAAACTTGCAATTCTCCTGTCTCCATCTCCTGAGTTCCTGAGATTACAGGTGTGCACATTTTTTCTTGATCCAGCCTCTGTCTGCCTCTCCAGCTCTGTCTCATCACCTTATTTGCCTCTTTCTTCTGAGAAAATAGGCTGACTTGTCCCATGAGAATCCCATATCCCCTCTTTAATTCCATGCTGTCCCCTCTGCTGGAGGAGCACATGACTGGCCTTGCCCCTTTGTCTAGATATTCTTTCTCTTTAAGAATTCATTCAGGAGCCAGGCACAGTGGTGCTTACTTATGATCCCAGCAGTTTGGGAGGCTGAGGCAGGAGGATCACAAGTTCAAAGCCAGACTCAGCAAAAAAAAAAAAAGTGAGGCACTGAGCAACTCAGTGAGAACCTGTCTCTAAATAAAATACAAAATAGGGCTGGGGATTTGGCTCAGTGGTCAAATGCTTCTGAGTTCAATCCCCAGTATCAAAAAAAAAAAAAATCCATTCAAGAATGACTAGGGTATTCTAATTTTAAGAAGCCCCCATAATCTCTTCCTCACCTAACCTGAATGCTGTGTTCCTTCTCCTGTGCTTACAATGGTTCCTACACTGATGGCTAACTATCCTACTATCCATCTCGAATTAGTGTGCAGCCTCTGCCATGAACCCCCAGCTGGTGAGCTCTGTGACAATAAAGGACTTGTCTGGTAAGTGTTTTCTATATGGAGGTTAATTTATTTAGCCCCAATTTCCTTAGGGAGGTTTAATTGTTGACTTGTTAACTCCGCTTCTTTTGCCTCTTAAGTATATTTCTATCTTTTGGAGTTCCTACCGCTGGACTTGAATCAGCAGTTCCAAAAGTGGGGTCCCAGATCCAACATCAATATCATCAGCATCACCTGGGAACTTGCTAAGCAATGCAAACTCTCCAGCACTTCTCTGACCTCTGAAAACTCACAGAGTAGTAGTAGTAGTAGTTCTGTTTTTTAATAAGTGCTTCAAGGGACTCTGATGCATACTAAATATTTGAGAAATAGTGCCTTACAGAAGTTATTGCTCATTAAATTGTTGAAGAGCTGAGGATGGGATGGGGCTCAGTGGTACAGCACTTGCCTGGCATGTGTCAGCCTTGGGTTCAGTCCCCAGTATCAAAAAAAAAAAAAAAAAAAAAAAAAAACATTGTTGTCGATTCCCTGAGGATGGCAATAGGCTATTTTTAATCTCAAGAGAAACAGTAATTGAGGAAATTACCAGGAAAGCTTTTATGAGGTTGAAATTTTTTCTGACATAGTATTTCAAATAGATGACTATTTCAGAGAAGGAGCAGTGGTTGGGGTTTTGTTTTGTTTTTGTGGTAATGGGGAGAACATGGGGATACTATACCATTGAGCCACATCTGCAGCCCCCCACCTTTTTTTTTTTTTTTTTTGGAAACAGGGTCTCAACACATTGCACAGACTGGCCTCAAACTTGTGATCTTTCTGTCTCAGCCTCCTGAGCAGCTGGGGTAACAGACATGTGCCATCGAGTCCAGCATGCTTTATATGGGCTTAAAAACAAGATGGATTCTTTTCTTTGACTCAATCTGGCTTGAGTGTGGTCTTGCTGAAGGGATATGGAGGAGACTGCCTTAACAGTTTCCTTCTAGTGCACAGATTCTCTGCTTCTAGGACAGTCTATGTGCTATTTAAAAAAAAAAAAAAAAACATGAAAGTTAGGGAGCAAGGGACCTTGCTAGGGGACCTTGGGCTTCAGCCCATAAGGAAGTATTTACTTTTTTTTTTCCCTTCCTGAGGTGTCTTTGCCAGTCTATACTCATAAAAAGGGATGACCAAGACCTTTCCAGAAAGGTAACTGTTTGTTTTACAGTCATAAAAATGAATCCTTGCTTTGTTTTCAAACAAACATGCTCTTCATGCAATCCATACAAACTGAATGACAAGTAGGTGCGGTCCAAGATTGGAGAGATAAAACTTCATTTGTTGATTTTTGGCCTAGAGCTGAAACAATGGGACAAAGGAGCAGCTTGTTGGTATAAGCTCTATAAAACACAATAATATTAGTCATGTAAACAGAAGAAAATAGGAGAGGCTAAGGAGATAAATTACATCAAGTCACCACAGTAGGGATTAAAATATTCTGATTAAGCAAACACTAAATGATCCAAAAGAAAGGATGAAGGGAAGAATGATAACTTCAGATTTAGAAAACAATGGGTCCTTCTATCTAGGGTGCTGTCTGACAAGGCCAGCTTTCAGAGGCTGCCTAAGCCAACTGTGATCGCCCATTAAGATCCCAGTTTTCATCAAAAGAAAAAGAAAATCATCCTATGCTCAAATAGCTGGCACACAAACCCACACATTTTTTTTTCTTATTTTCTTCCCTATTCTCTTATCCCCCTGCACAATTGCAAAGCAATCCATTTTGCTATGTAAGCACGGGAAGGGAATAAAAGCACTCACAGGTTTCTAACTCTATTTGCATTCAGAGATTTGTTGGCTTAACTTCCAAAGTATGAATTGGTGGCTGCTCTCAAGCGATGGGGAAAACAGCCAACTTATCAATGTTTAAGACTGCCCAGGTACTGTGTGAACAGCAACTTTTTCATAACTGTCTTTATAAGGATATTTGAACAACTAAAGCATAGCTTACAGATTGGTACTATTTCAAGTAATAGTGCTGCTGAATCTGGAGTTAATGTTCTATGTTTATATACTTGTCTGTATTAAAGTAAAGTGCCCTTATATAATGATGAAGAAATAATATTTCCCTTTGAAACTTAGAATGCTGACATGCTCACTGACCTATGCATCTGTAAACTTCTTGGCAGTGACAATGAGCATAGGTTACTGAAAGCCAGTAAGCATTTTTAGAAAGTGAAGGTCTGGGGCGTAGCTCAGTGGTAGAGCACTTGCCTGGCTCTCCAGCACTGGAAAAAAAAATAATAATAATCTTTAAAAATAACCAGGCTCCCGGACCTGGCTCCAGGTCAAGAGTTGATAATTCTACAGCTAGACAGGACTCCTGTGCTTTTTTCCTCCCGGGAAAAAAATGTCCTTCTGGAAGGAATTGAGACTAGCTGTTCTCAAAATCAACTTTTGTTGTTTTGTTTCTTTTAAAAGTAATATATATATATATATATATATATATATATATATATATATATATATATATATATATATATATTTAATGAAAAATAAGCAAGATGCAGAGAGTATTAGCAAATAATGATCATAAGACCCACTTTAAACCACTTTTTGGTTTATTTCTTAACAGGCTTTATTTATATTAAGATGTATTTTTAAAAATATTTTTAGTCGTGGATGGACACAATATCTTTTTTTATTTTTTTAATGTGGTGCTGGGGATTGAACCCAGTGCCATACATGCACGAGGCAAGTGCTCCACCACTGAGCTACAACTCCAGCCTCTTAAGATGTATTTCTAAAAAAAAGAAAAAAGAAGATGAATACACACAATTATTCAGCTCAATATTATACTGTATGTACCATTATGTAACCTACTTTTTTCAATTAAACATTTTCTTGCTAATAAAAATCTTAAAGCAAAGGTTGTAACGTGGTGGCCAATGAATACATTAATTGGCTCACAGTGTTCAACAGTGTGGAGCTGAGGAGTAGGAGATTCTGTGATATGGCCTGTGGTCTTCACTTTACTGCAGTCCCTACCACTCCCTATTGTTCTCTATTCAAGATTATTGGTTGCTATTTATTTATAATTTCACTTACACTGCCTTTTATTTTTAAATTGTAGGATCAAAAAGAAAGTGACAATATTAATTCTGCCTATCCAAGAACAAGGGAGATCATCTTCTAAGGTATTCTTTAATTTCTTTCTTTAGCGTTCTGTAGTTTTCATTGAAGAGGTCTTTCACCTCTTTTATTAGGTTGATTCCCAAGTTTTTTTTTTTTTTATTTTTTTTTGAGGCTATTTTAAATGGGGTAGTTTTCCTCATTTCCTTTTCAGAGGATTTGTCACTGATACACAGAAATACCTTTGATTTATGGGTGTAGTTTTGTATCCTGCTACTTTGCTGAATTCATTTACTAGTTCTAGAAGTTTTCTGGAATTTTTGGGGTCTTCTAGATATAGAATCATATCATCAACAAATAGTGGTAATTTGAGTTCGCTTTCTATCTGTATCCCTTTAATTTCTCTCACCCAATTGCTCTGGCCAGTGTTTCAAGAACTATGTTAAATAGAAGTGGTGAAAGAGGGCATCCCTGTCTTGTTTCAGTTTTTAGAGGGAATGCTTTCAATTTTTCTCCATTTAGAATAATGTTGGCCTGGGATTTAGCATAGATAGCCTTTATGATGATGAGATATGTTCCTGTTATCCCTAGTTTTTCTAGTGTTTTGAACATCAATGAGTGCGATGTTTTGTCGAATTCTTTTTCTGCATTTATTGAGATGATCATATGGTTAATCTCTAGGATTTATAAAGAACTCAAAAAGCTAAACTCCAAAAAAAATAAAAAAAATAATAATAATAACCCAATCAATAAATGGGCCAAGGAACTGACAGACACATTTCAGAAAGTGATATACAATCAATCAATCAATATATGAAAAAATGTTCAACATCTCTAGCAATTAGAAAAATGCAAAACTACTCTAAGATTTCCTCTCACTCCAGTCAGAATGGCAACTATTAAGAATACAAACAACAATAAGTGTTGGTGAGGATGTGGGGAAAAAAGCACACCCATACATTGCTGGTGGAACTGCAAAATGGTGCAACCAGTATGGAAAGCAGTATGGAGATTCCTTGGAAAACTGGGAATGGAACCACCTTTTGACCAGCTATCCCACTCCTTGGTGTACACCCAAAGGACTTAAAAACAGCATACTACAGGGACACAACCATATCAGTGTTTATTGCAGCACAATTCACAACAGCTAAACTGTGGAGCCAACCTAGATACCCCTCAGTAGATGAATGGATAAAGAAAATGTGGTATATATACAAAATGGAATATTAATCAGCAATAAAAGATTAATAAAATCATGGCATTTGCAGGTAAATGGATGGAGTTGGGAGAAGATAATGCTAAGTGAAGTTAGCCAATCCCCAAAAAAAAACAAATGCCGAATGTTTTCTCTGATATAAGGAGGCTGATTCATAGTGGGGTTGGGAGGGGGAGCATGGGAAGATTAGACAAACTTTAGATAGAGCAAAGGGGAGGGAGAGGAAATGAGAGGGCAAGGGGATTAAAAAAAGATGGTGGAATGAGATGGACATCATTACCCTAAGTACATGTATGAAGAAGACACGAATGGTGTGAATATGTTTTTTTTTTTGTTTTTTATACTTTTTTTTGTTTTTTTATACAAACAGATATATGAAAAATTGTGCTCTCTTTATATAATATGAATTGTGATGCTGTCATATATAACAAATTAGAATAAAAATTTTTTTAAAGTGAAAACATTGCTTTCTCCATGTCTCCACTTTATATCCAACCTACCTTCATTCATTTCTGTTATTGCTTGGCATCCAGGTTTAGAAGTCTTTAATTAAAGTAAATTTTATAAAGACTCTAGGAAATATAGCATTATGTGATTTCCATAAGTATTTAATCAATCACTGCTGTTGGACACTCAAATTATCTTGTTCGTTGATATTACCAATAAAACTGAAAATAATCTTTTATATAAATGTTAAATATAAGTTCTTAGGGATGGGAGTATAGCTCAGTGTTAAAGCACTCCCCTAGCATGTGTGCAGCCCTGGGCTGGATCCCCAGCACCATATAGGCGCATGTATGCAAACACACACACACACACACACACACCACACACACACACCACACACACACACACACATGCTTCTTTGAAGCAGACTGCTTTCAAGCATAGCCAGGCAGGTGATTTAGCACTGAGCTACACCCCCAGCCCCAGCAGAATTGCTTTGAATAGTAAGAATATTTTAAACCTTTTTTTTTTTTGTTTTGTTTTTTACTGGGGATTGAACCCAGAGTGCTTTACCCGTGAGCCACATCTCTATATTCCTAGTCCTTTTTATTTTTGAGACAGAGTCTCACCAAGTGGCAGAGGCTGGCCTCAAACTTTCAATCCTCCTGCCTCAGCTTCCCAAATCACTGGGATTACAGGCAAGTGCCACCATGCCCAGCCAACAGCTGCATTTTGAAAAGATATTCCCCAGATTGTTTTTTGTTTGTTTTGTTTTGTTTGCAGTACTGGGGATCAAACCCAGGACCTTGTACAGGTTAGTCAAGTGCTTTCCCACTGAGCTCCTCCAGATAATTTTTAAAGCACATGCTGGTTAAAGAAATACTTCCATAAGAGACTGGGAAAATGCAAGGAACCACTATGGAAAGTTGAGAAGAGTTGGAGAAGCAAGAGCAATGGGAGGTGACAGGGGCATGGTGAGCCTCAGGGCCTGGCCAGGCACAAGCTTTCCACCAAGGAGGCTTGTGACATGTTGCAGTGAGGGCGAGAGAGATTATGAAGGCTAAAAAGAACAGAAAATAGAGGTACTTAATCAAAGGGAAAAAAAATGTATTCCAGATCTGACTACATAAATATGAACTATTTCAACATGTCAAAAAATAAATTAAAACAAAAAATCAGTATATGTGAGCAAATAAAGCAATATTACTAATGATATAGTTTTATAATCCATTCAGAAAACTATGACTCACTTGTAAAAAAATGAGCCACCACATGGACAATTCCTAATGAAAATACAATTTTCAATATATATGAAAATGAATATAAAACATTTATAAAAATAAAAATGTATGACATTTTAAACTTTTTAAATTGGCTTTTTTTAAAACCAACCAACCAACAAACAAAAAAGTATACTACTGTTCTGGCACAGAAAATAAGGGAAATGAGCAAATTCATCCACTATTCATATTCACTATTAGTAAAAATATCTTTGGCACAAATTTTCTTTGGCACAAATTTTCTAAAGATCTTTGGAAGTTTTTCTGCTGGAATCAGGTTGGCACATGCCTGTAGCAACTCAGGAGACTGAGTGAGGATCACAAGTTTCAGGCCAGCCTCAGCTACTTAGTGAGGCCCTGAGCAACTTAGAGAGATCCTGTCTCAAAATGAAAAGAAAATAAGAATAAGAGTAAGAAGAAAAAGAACAACTGGGGATGTAGCTCAGTGGCAAAGCACCCTGGCTTCAATTCTCAGTACCAAACAAAAACAACCACAACAAAAAACTTCCAGGCACACTGGGCATACCTGTAATCGCAGAGACTGAGGTAGGAGGATTGCAAGTTTGAGGCCAGCCTCTATAACTTAATGAGACCCCGTCTCAAAAATAAAAATTACAAGGACTGGGAATATGGCTCTGTGATAGAGAGAAGGGTAGGAAGGAAGGAAGGAATTCCCTCTTTTGCCACCAGGCACATCTTCTGATACCTTATGGTCAAGCCCACATTTCCTCAATCAAACTAATTCCATCTTCTTAAATATTTATCATTTCTTTATGCTGGGAACCTTTGAACTCCTGTCTTCTGGGAGGCTCTTAGACAGAATGAGTCTTGCTTCAAGCTGTTTTGACTTCCTTAATGATAGAAGTGAAGAAAAAGATGCCAGATAATAATCAGAGCAGACACTACAAACTGTCCAAGTTGAAAAATCCTGTCCAATCCCAAAGTGCTAGGGACGGGAGTGTGGCTCAGTGGTAGAGTTTGTGCCTAGCAAGCATGAGGCTCTAGGTTTGTCGCTCAGTGTGGGTACACACACACACACACACACACACACACAGATTTCTATCCATAAGGTGCTACTTAATATCTTGTTGCTTTCACTGCCCATAAACTCAAGAGACAGCTCTTCCTTCCTGGGCTTTTCTGATGCTCCTGGGTAACAGGAGCTCCTAAGAACTTCTTTAAATCTAGCTTCTCCTGTTAAACTCAGAAGTTAGGCTCAAAGCAGTATAGTCAACCATCTATCTGACAGGGGGCAATGCATCCTGGTTAGGAATGATGACTCATTGGGTGCAATGGTGCACACTTGCAATCCCAGCAATTCGGGAGGCTGAGGCAGGAGGATTGTAAATTTGAGGCCAGCTTGGACAGCTTAGTGAGCCCAGGTCTCAAAATTTTTAAAAAGGGATTGGGATGTAGCTCAACAGTAGAGTAGCCATGGGATGAATCTCTAGTACCTGCGGGGTTGAGGACCCTAACTATAGGGTGACTCTGCAGTCACCATCTGTGAGGTTGGGGGACAAATGGAAACCATGATGACAACTCTCAAGGTGCAAGGGTACCTGAAATTCTTCCTCTGACAACTCCTTTAGTCTGAAAATGGTCCCCAAACTATGCTCTGCGTTTTGGGTTTCAGGGGCTAGGCCAAAGCAATTTATTGCTAAATTTGAATATTGACAGCCTTGCCTGCCCACATCCCTCACCTACTGCAGACCCAATTAAGTTCATGGACAAAGTTTTCAATTTAGGCATGGTGCCACATACCTATAATTCCAGTGACTAGGAAGGCTGAGGAGGAGGATAGCAAGTGCTCGGCAATTGGGGGAGACACCATCTCAAAATAAAAATATTTATTTATTTATTTATTTATTTTTTTAGTTTTTGGCAGACACAACATCTTTGTTTGTATGTGGTGCTGAGGATTGAACCCGGGCCGCACGCATGCCAGGCGAGCGCGCTACCGCTTGAGCCACATCTCCAGCCCCTCAAAATAAAAATATTTTTAAAAAACCAAAAAAGAGCTGGGACGTAGCCCAGTGGCAAAGCACCCTGGATTCAAACCCTTGTTCCAAAAACAAATAAAACAAAAAATATGAATTTTTAAATTAAAAATGTCATCATCTCAGCATTTTTCAACCAAAAACATAAGAATTGTACTTATTTATTGGGAACAGTGTAATAATTCAATACATGTAAAACATATAATGATTAAAGGAGGGTAATCAGCA